GGTGCAAATGAGACCTTTGACTAGATCCAACATCCCTTCATGATAAAAGTCCTGGAGAATCTTGAAATATGGAGGACATACCACAATATAAAGAGAATTTACAAGTCAAAGTAATGCTAAATGGAGAGAAACTCAAAGCATTTTTACTAAAATCAGGACTAAGACAAAGATGTCCACTCTTTCCATATCTACTCCATATAGTTCGATGTCTTAGCTATCACAATAAGATAACTGGAGGAGACCAAGGGGTTACAAACAGGAAAGTAAGATATCAAAGTATCCTCATTTACAGATGATATGATTTTATATAAAAGAACTAAACGCCATCTGCAAAGTAGGAGGATACAAAATAACACAAATAAATCTATAGCCTCCCTATATACAAATAGCAAATACATGGAGAAAGAAACCAGGGAAACAACACCTTTTACAGAAGCCTCAATAAACAGCTCAGAATAAAATCTAAGAAAGGGAAAGACTCATGCAATGAAACCTTGAAGCCTTCAAAGAAGACCCCAGCGGATTGAACAATCTCCCATGCTCACGGATCTGTAGGATTAATATTACATAAGTTGACACCCTACCCAAAGCAGTCTACAGACTCAGAGTGCCCCCCATAAACACCCCAAAGCAATTCTTCCCAGAAATTAAAAAAATAAGCTTCATATGGAAACACAAAATCCTCGGACAGCCGTAACAGTCCCAAACAACACCAGAAGAGCTGCAAGTATCACCCTGACTTTCAGTTGTACTCTAGAGCTGTAGTAATAAAAACAGTGTGATACGGGCGTAAAAACTGACACACTGATCGAAGGAGAATGCAGGCAGAGTCCACACACCTGAGTTTTGACAAAGAGGCCAAAAATAAATCCTGGAGAAAAGACAGCATCTTTAACAAATGCTGCTAGTCAAACTGGATGGATGGTTGTAAATGAATTAAAATGAACCTCTACCTATCATTCTGCACAAAACTCAGCCAAGACAAGATCAGGTGTCAGCACCATACTGGGTGGTCTCGTGTGTCAACTTGACACAAGCTAGAGTTAACAGAGGGAAGAGCCTCAGCTGCCTCTTTGAGATCCAGCTATAATGCATTTTCTCAATCAGTGATCAGTGGGGGAGGGCTCAGCTTACTGTGGGTGGTGCCATCCCTGGACTTCCCTGTGTTCTATAAGAAGGTGGCCTGAGCAAGTCATGGGAAGCAAGCCAGTAAGCAGCTTCCCTCTTTGGCCTCTGCATCAGCTCCTACCTCCACGATCCTGCCCTGTTTGAGTTCCTGACCTGACTTCCTTCAAGTGTTAAAGCTCTGAAGAGAAAGGTACCCTGGATGTTGGTCCACCAAACTGGAAACTCTAAAAGAAATAGTTATTTTTTTCACTGTATACCAGTTACCAAAGTTGTATCAAGATCAGACAAGCAGTTTAAACAGATCCATTACACCTAGTAAAATAGGAGCAGTCACGGAAAGTCTCTCAACCAGTCAGACATTGGTGGTTTCTATAATGCCAGAATTCAGGAGGCAGAGGCAGGTGAATCTCTGTGAGTTTGAGGCTAGCCTGATCTACAAAGTGAGTTCCAATACTGCCAGGACTGTTATACATAGAAATACTATCTATCTCAATAAACAACAACAACAAACAGTCTCCCAACCAAAAAAGGCCCAGGGCCAGATAAGTTTTATCATGGAATTGTACCATGATAAAACTAGAATTAAAAAAAGAATCAATGCCAGTATTTCTCAAACTACTTCACAAAATAGAAGCAGAAGGAACAATGCCCATTTTTTTTTAAAGGTCACAGTTACCCTAATACCTAAACTACATAAAGACTCAGTAAAAAGAGAGAGAGAGAGAGAGAGAGAGAGAGAGAGAGAGAGATTGCAGATCAATTTCCTCAATGAATATAGATGAAAAATTCTCAATAAAATACTTTAAAAGTGAGCCCAAAAGCACATCGAAAAAAATCATCCACTATAATCAAGTATGCTTCTTCCTAGAGATGCAGGGATGGTTCAAAATGTAAACCACCACTTAAGCAAAATGAAAGAAAAACCCACATGATCATCTCATTAGATGCAGAAAAGGTCTTTGACAAAATCTAGCACCCTCTTCATGATAAAAGTCCTGGAGAAATCAGGCTTACAAGGGAGATACCTGAACATAATAAAACAATATACAGCAAACTGATTGACAATATCAAATTCAGTGGAGAGAAACTCGAAGCAATTCCACTAAAATCAGGAACAAGATAAGACTGTCCACTCTTTCCATATCTATTCAACATAGTACTTGAAGTCCTAGCTGGAGCAATAGGACAACTGAAGGAGATCAAGGGATACAAATTAGAAAGGAAGAAGTCTAAGTATCTTTGTCTGCAGATGATATGAGAGTATACATAAAGAACCACAAAATTTGCACTTGGAAACTCCAGCAAAGAAGCTGAACACAAAATTAACACACAGAAATCAATAGTCTTTCTTTATAGAAATGACAAACGGACTGAGAAAAAAAATCAGGGAAGCACTACATTTTATAATAGCCTTAAAAATATAAAGTATCTTGGGATAAATCTAATCATGCAAGTTAAAAACTTGTATGATTTTAAAAAACCTTTAAGACACTGGGAAAAATGTAAGAAGATATCAAAAGATGAGAAGAAATACCATGCTCATGGATCAGCAGGATGACTGTAGTAAAGATGGCCATCCAACTAAAGCCAGTCTAACATTCAATGCACTCATCACCGAAATCCCAACACAATTCTGCACAGGTTTTGGAAGGGAAATTTTCATCTTTATATAGAAACACACAAAAACCCTCAAGGATAGCTAAAACAATCCTGAATAGTAAAAGATATTTATAGTTATTTATATTCATATTTACATTTATACTGCTGGAGGGCTCACCATCCCCAATCTCAAATTACTACAGAGCTATAATATATGGCATATATGTGTGTATACACACACACATATCAATATATATGTATATATATATATTGGCATAAAAGGCACATTGATCAATAAAATAGAATTGAAGACCCAAAAAAATCCAAACACCTATGGACACCTTATTTTTGATAAATAAATTAAAAAAAAAACAGAAATATGCACTGGGAAAAAGACAGCATCTTCAACAAAGGGTTGGGCAAACTGGGTTTCAGCATGTAGAAGAAAGCAAATAGATCTATAGCTATCACCCTGCACAAAAGTCAATTTGGAATGGGTTAAAGACCCCAACATAAAACCAGATACACTGAACTTGATAGAAGAGAAACTGAGGAATAGCCTTGAACTTATTGGCACAGGAAAGCATTTTCCGAACAGAACACAAATAACACAGGCACGAATATCAACAATTATCAAATGGAACCACAAGAAACGGAAACTGCTCTGTATGACAAAGGGCACCATTATTTGGACGAAACAGCAGGATACAAAATGGAAAATGATTTTTTCCAACTACACATTTGATAGAGGGCTAATACCCAAAATATATAAAAAACTAAAAAACAAAACAAAAAAACCCTATAATCAAGAAAACAACCTAGCTTAAAAATGGTATACAGATCTAAACAGAGAATTCTCACAAGAGGCAACTCAAATGGCTAAGAAGCATTGCAAGGGAGTGGGGCCCTTTGCTTGTCCCGGCCGCCTGGCTATCTTACACTCAAAATAACCACACAGAAATTGCATTCATTAAAACACTGCTTGGCCCATTAGCTCTAGTTTCTTATTGGCTAATTCTTACATCGTAATTTAACCCATTTCTATTCATCTGTGCATTACCACATGACTATGGCTTACCAGCAAGATTCTAACCAGTGTCCATCTCAGGCAGAAGGTCAATGGCATCTCTCACTCTGCCCTTCTTCCCAGCATTCAGTCTGTCTTCTCCGCCTACCTAAGTTCTGTCCTATCAGGCCCAAAACAGTTTCTTTATTCATTAACCAATGAAAGCAAGACATGAACAGAAGAACCTCCTACACCAAAGAAGCACCTTTTAAAATGTTGGACATATGTCAGAGGAATACAAACAAACAAAAACTACTTTGAGATTTCATCTTACTCCAGTCAGAATGACCAAGATACCAAATCAATAAATAACAGCTCATGCTGGTGAGGATATGGAATAAGGGAGTACAAACTTGTACAATCATTGCTGGTGAGAGTGCAAACTTAACTTGTATAGCTAGCAACCCATGGAAATTTGTGTGGTGGTTCCTCCCGAAGCTAGAAAAAGATCTACCACAAGACCCAGCTATATCACCCTTGGGCATATTCTCAAAGGATGCTTAATCCTACTATAAAGACATTTGCTCAACCATGCTCATTGCTGCTCTGTTCTTAACGGCTAGAAATGAGAAACAACCTAGATATCTATCAACAGATAAATGGATAAAGGAAATGTAGTTTACACGTAAATGAATGGAGTTAGAAAAAAATTCATCCTAAGTGAGGTAACCCAGTCAAAATATAAATAAGGCATGCATTCACGTTTTTGTAGATATTAGTTTATATCACCCATAAGCAAGCTACAGAAGTTAGGTACAAAGTAAGGAACTTAGGGGGAGGGATGGGTCTCTCTAGGAAGGGTATAGACTGACTGGAACAGGAGGATAAAATAGAAGGAGAGAGAAGAGGGGAGCGAGAGAAGGAACAGCTAAGACTAAGGGCCATTTGAGGGGCCATATAGAAACCTAATACAGTCGGAGCTTCCTAAAATATACATGCATGAAGGCAATCTAAATGAAATCACCAAATAACAGGGGGAATGGAGCCCCCAGTGGACATCTTTTGTCATCAAATGAAGCTTTCAGTACTGGAAATGGTCTGCATCTCATCCAGTTGTGAGTCAGAGGGGTCCGTAAAAACTCAAGCAACCCAGCCTACTGCAAAGGCTGTTGGCTGCTCTCCACAAACCGACAGTAAGGCCCTATTGCTGAAGACAATATCTAAAGACAAAATTCACCAAACACAGGGAAGTTAGGTTGGTGCTTACCTAGTGCCTTCACCCCTATGGACTAATGTTCATGGTACTGGAAGGTCCTCTGCACGCTACCGAAGGAGCTGGGAGACGTGAACATGAAGTCCCACCTCCAGTTGAGGAACTGTTGGCTTTTGGTAGTCCTGGGAGAGGAGCATCTATTTTATTTATGGTGTCATACCTGGTATACAGACCACATTTGTCGGATTTAAGGAAGGGAGGAAGGGGAGCGGGGAGAGGAAGAGGGAGAAAGGGAGACATTAGGTGGTTAGGGAAGCAGGGGTAGACCTGGGAGAAGCTGGTTGAAGGGGGTGAATGTGATCAAAATATATTGTATGGTGTTATCAAATAATTAGTAAAGATACTGTTTAAAAAACCAAATACCTGAGAAATGCATAAATTTCTTCCAATATAATGTAGTGATGCTCCTGTAGTCGTGCTATTTCATGCTTTACAGAACAGAAAGGCAGACGATCGTGTTGTCTGTCAAGACCCAGGAAGCTTCTCTGAGTGACGATTGACTCTAGGTGTTTAAGGATGAATGGAAGCACCTTAGGAAGACAAACATAAGGAATTCCAGAGAGAGGGAGGAGCTAGGACGTTTTCTATATCAGGCAGCAGATGCTGAAGCCCTGAAGAAGGAGATGGGGAGAGAGAACAGGACCGTTAGCGTGGATATTTCCCAGTAAGCTCAATTCTAAATGATTCACTACTGTGTTAAAAATAGCACTGTCTCGGTTAGGGTTTCTACTGCTTTGATGAAACACCATAACCAAAAAAGCAAATTGGGGAGGAAAGGGTTTATTTGGCTTACACTTCCGTACTGTAATCCATCATTGAAGGAAGCCAATACAGGCATTTAAACAGGGAAGGAAGCAGGCATTTTCTTAACTAAGTTTCTTCCTCTTGGATGACTTTACCTCAAAAGCAGTTTAGGTGAGCATCTGATGTGGGACGTCATCTCTCCAAGCAGACTCTAGAGGGGCTGGAGAGATAGCTCAGCAGTTAAGAGAACCAGCTGCTTTTCCAGAGGACTCAGGTTTGAGTTCCAGTACAAGGCAGTTTATAATCATCTATAACTCCAGTCCTAGGGATATAGAAGAGGATCTTACACCCTCTTCTAACCTCCATGGGCACTGTACCAACACGGTGCACAGACAGGCATGCAGGCGAAACACCCATACATTTAAGTTTAAAGAAAAAGAATGAATCTAGAACCCATGTTCTTAGTAACTCTGTTCACAAGACTCAAAATATGAAAGTAACTTGATTGAACATCAATGGAAGAAAAGAACGTGGTGTGTGCACAGCCCAGATTAGGCTCAGCCTTTAGGAAGAATGGAGTCCTGACATATTCTGCAACATGAATGAAACCTGAAGGCATGCTAAGTAAACAAGTAATCATTAGAAGACAAATGATATAGATTCCAACTATATGAAGCTCTTCGAATGGTCAAGTCCACAGTGATGAGGGGTGCTAAGGAGGAGGGGCAAGGGTTTTCAGCAGGAACAGAACCCCAGTTGAGGAAGGTGACATTCTGGGGATGGGAAGTAATGGTGTTGGCATGACAGTCTGGACACAGTCAGCGGCACTGGTCCACATACTGAAAATGCCCACACTGGCACACTCTGTGTTTAGATTTTACCACCGTTATATTAAGAATGGAAAGCCATGTAATATTTATAGTACACACTCATGTTTACAAATAAAGAGAGAGATCTGGTGGAAATTCAAACGTGGTTTAGTGACCTGATTCATCTAGATGACATCTTTTCAAAACTGAGACTGAACGCCATAGCTATGTGTGGTAGTGTGTGCCTTTAATACCTGCACTTGGGGAGGCAGAGGCAGGTGGATCTCTGTGAGTTCAAGGCCAGCCTGCTCTACATAGCAAGATCCAGACCAGACAGAGCTACAAAGTGAGACCCTGTCTCAAAACACAAAAACAAACAGAAAGACTGACCTCTGTAATATACCCAGAACTGGGAAATTTACCAGCTCTTGAATACAATGGAGAGCAAGAAAGAGTCTAGACAAGCTCACCACCTGTTTTTTTCTAATAGAGTTTTTCTGGGATCCAGCCCTACCCCTTTGTGCTGCGCATGTCTGTAGCTGCTTCTGCTCTCCCATGACTGAACTGAGGCCTTGCAAAAGAGGCTGTCTGACCTGCAGAGCTCAGAGCAGGTGTTCCCCGATCCTCTACTGAGAAAGTGTTCTGAATCCTCTTCTACACATGTGAACATAAGCTGTGTTTTACACGATACCATTGTATTAGTGTTCAGTTTGTCTACTGTGAGGCCATATAGTAGCTATTGATAAGGATGCTCTTGTTCTTGAGAGATGGTGCTGAAGACATACAGTAGAGCATTCAAATGATAGCTGGGTAGATGAATGGATAGGATGGACCGGTAGGTAGGTAGGTAGGTAGGTAGGTAGGTAGGTAGGTAGGTAGGTAGGTAAGTAGGTAGGTAGACAGCTAGATTATAGATGAGCATAAATAGAAAAAGAAAGAAAATGTGACCAAAGAGTAACACTAGTGAAACTTGGCAAAGAATGGAAAGGTGTTCACTGTGTTATTCTTTCATTTTCTGAAAGTTTGTCAAAATAAAAGTAGGAGGAGAAAGGAATGCGGTGACTCTGGAACTCAGTCTGCCCTGCACTTCCTGAACCCAGGTGACATCGTGGCTTCTTACAGCTGGAGAGTAGAGCGGTATTTCACACGAGGGCAAGGCCACACCCTCTCTACCACAGAAAAGGTGTGTGGCAAGCAACCACACCTGTTGATTACTGTACACCTTGTGGCAATAACCATTTTTTGGATGCTTGGGTTTTGTATTCTCCACACAATGAGGGAGCAACATTACCAAGTTCTCCTAAGGATGCACTTTTAAAAACCAGCAGACATGTGTCACGGCTCCCCTGCTTACATGCCTATGGTCACTTAGGAACGAAATGGCTTTTCTAGCATCCCTTATGCCTCACGCAGCATTGCTTATCCCAGGAGCACCTGGATCTCTTAGCTACTTTTCACTTGAAAGTCTAAGAGCGGATACCATCGCTTACAAGATGACTGACCTAAAAGAGACTCTTGAGATTAGAGGTACACACCGTTTCACATCTGCTTCAACAACTCTACAGCACAGAGTGTGTCCTGCAAATACTCTCCACGTAAGTTATAAAGTGACCTGTTTGAGGTGTCTGTGAAAGATGTTTGTCTGTCTGTGCTGGCAGCACAGGGGAGGTTATCTGGGAATAGGTGGGCAGAGCTGGCGAATGCTGACAGCGCATCCTGGAGAAGCATGGCTTAGGTAGCATGGTGATACAAACCTATAATCCCTGCAGGGTCATAAATCCGATGCCAATCTGGGTTACAGGAAGACTCTGTCTTAAGTAAGGAGAGGAAATGGGGGGAAAGCGAGAGTAAAAGAGGGAAACAGGGATGGGGAGTGAACGAAAGAGGGCGGAAGCGAGGGAAGCACAGGGTAGAGAGGCGCACAGCGTCATCTGTGTGCCACTTACCAGAGTGACACAAAGTTGAGTCACTTTGACTGAGAGACGTGCAGCTGAGGAAATGCTTCCATCAAATTAGGCTTCAGGGAGTCAGGGCTGTACGTTCTTGATTGTGGATTGATGTGGGATGGCTAGCCCACCGTGGGCAGTGCCACCTCCGGTCAGGTGGCCCTGGGAGACTCAGAAAGGCAGATAGACCTGAGGCTATGAACAAGTCAGTATGCAGCACTCTTCCATGGCCTCTGCTGCCGTTCCTGCCTCCGGGTCCCCTTTTAGCTGAGTTCCTGCCCTGGCTTTCCTTAGTGATGGACTATGGTAAGACCTGCAAAGTAAAGAAATCTTTTCTTTCCCAAGTTGCTTTTGGTCATGATCTTTATTGAAGCAATAGAAAGTAAACTAAGACAATCTACACAGCAAGAGTAGTGTTTGGTGAAATAAGTGAGAGAAAGAATTACAGATGACACCCTGTTCTTCATAAGAGTTCAGACGGCCCCTGCCTATAAGATACTTAGTGTGCACATTTCAGACCGTCTTCAAACAATTTGGAAGTATTGCATTAAATAGTTTCAAGAGCTGATATTGAAAAGGGAAATAGGAGAGAAGGAAATGAATAATTAAACCAAACCTTAATAAACTCTTAAAAAGAGATGATGGTAAGGTATCAATGAAGAGGTCCAAAGGCAAAGAAAAAGCTGGTGAGAAGAGCGTCACTCATGACCAATGCCAGTGTCACAAAGAGTACCAGCATCTTCTCTGGCTTCCTAGGAAATGGTACCCAGAAACAGAGCTCCAGATGCAAGCAGAAGCAGACTCACTGGGAAGAGGAAACAGAGACGGAACCGAGACGCGGCTAGAACTTGAAGGCCAGACTACTAGAAACAGAAGGGCCCCTTATCCTTACCCAGAAAGGTTTTAGAACTTGAGTAACGATTTGTCAAATTCTTGGTCACCTCCTATGAGGGTTAATTTATGTGTCATTTTGACTAGTCCACAGTATTTGATAAACACCAGACTAGATGTAAACGTGAAGGTTTTAAGTATAATATTTATGTTTAAATGAGTAGGATTTGACTTAATCCTGTGAACAAAAACTCCTGGAAAGAGGCCATGTCTGCAGAGACTGACTGATTAGCCCTGCAGTAGTGCGTGAGAACATGCGATGTTGCAGGTCCAGAGTCTTAATACCTGATCTTGGGCTAGTTCCAAACTCCCACCCCAGCAGCCATTCCTTCCCCGCCTCTGGGTCTGAACTAGCATCTTGTCAGTAATCGATAGAAACCTTTTGGAATCTTTTATCTTATCACTATTAACCAGCTCCCACCAACCCTGAAAGCTAAGATTGTCGCCGAGAGCATCTTGGGCCTATAAAAATGCTTCCTCTATCTTGATACAATTGCCTCTCTGGGGTACCCACTAATGTATTTTAAACTTGCCTTGATTTATGACGTTCACTGTGCTGTAAAAGCCGTAAGAACTTCACGAACTAGTTTTCACACTGGATCGCGGGCTCTGGAGCCACTTAAATCTGTGTTCCTGGGCCCAGGCCACTCAAAATGGCTCCAGAACAAACTATCTCTTATTCCCTTTAAGATGAGATCTGTGGTCTTTGCACCAACAAGAAAATATCCTTTATAGTGTGAGTCGGAGGCCAGAGACATGGTTCATTCAGTAAAGTATTTGCTGCATAAACATGGGAACCTGAGTTTGATCCCCAGAACCCAATTTTAAAAACCATTGAGGTGTGTATTGGATGAAAATTAAAATAGTGAGATGACTATTAGGGTGGAAAGGATGTTACCTTCTGGCCCAACAGTGAGTGCTAGCTATGAATCATGGCATGAAAACACTAACTATGGACTAACTAACAATTGCTACGCAAATATGTGTGGGAGGTGGAGGGACTAAGCAAAACTCCATTTACCGAAAGATAACTATCAAAAGACCCTACACCACCAAGAGGTTGCCATACATACATATTTTTGAATGAAAATCCTCGGGTCAATGCCAAAGAAACAGCAGACAGCACTGTAGAGTCACTTTGCTCTAAACCTGTAATACTGCTTTACTGCGCGATTGATTTACTTCCCTTAAGCTCTGTTAAAGGGCGCACACGTGCC